CATTAGTAAGATAAAACCCATAGAAGTTAATTGCATTTTTGTGGGGGTTTTTAAAAGTTTTTACAGCAGGGGAAAAATACGTCACAGTTGAATCCTATTTTAATGTAAAGCATTGCCAGAAAATGACCATACTGGGTGCAAAAGTAAATGTGATAGTAGAGTTTTTGCAAATTGTTAGAGAATTTATTTGCTTATGCATGGAGATAATTTCTCTCGAGTTACTGAATGAAGTACAGTTAATTTAAAATATGCACATACGCACCTTGTTACTGCAAAACTAATTTTAAAATGTCTTATAGTGTTATTCCTGGTTTTGCCTACAAGGTTTTACTGTGAAATAATGAACACATGCAAGTGTACTACTTCTAGAGGTTTTAATTTCTGTTATGGTTGTGTACATTTCTGTTTTAGTTGTGTTATAAATCACAGCAAGTTGTGGTCCAAAAACTTTGTGAGCAGTTTTTAAATCCAGAGTCAAATTTTATCTCATAGCATTTCTGAAGTGTAAAATCTAATCTACAAAGTAACAGAGAGTTTTGCATAAAAACTTAAAATATCATAAATTTGGCTTTTGAATGCAGACACCAAATTAACATTTTCTTTCATCAAATCTATTATCTGTATGAACATACAAAGAAGTTATGTTTCCATGAGATAAATCAACATTCTGTACTCATAAGTTTAAAGTTTAAAATTTATAGATACTGTATTCTGTTTCTAAATCCCAAACCAGTAGATTAATGGTTCTTCTTTATAGTTAGGTTGATAAATAACTGTTTAGTTACTTTTCCTGAGACTAAAGGAAATAGAAGGTGAAGAATATTAAGTATTCTCCTTTGTGCCATTTTAATTTTTAGCAGCACTCAGGAATAACGTGTCTCTAATCTTCCTACTTGGAGGGCTTTATGTTTTCTATTTGTTTGCAAACATATCATGAAAGAGTGCAATTATAAAGATTAACTTTGTTGTAATTTTGTATCTTAGATTTTGCTCCATGGAACTGTTGAGCTCTCAGTTACTCATTTCAGTGCACTAAACGAATTTATTCTCCATTCAAAATACAAATTCTTGCTTTTTAGTTGGCATTTTTACTGACTATTAAATGTTAATATTTCATATTTTATTGGTGCAGTGTAAGTGGTACATATTGTTATGTATTTGAATAAAAGTTACAAATGTATTTACAAAATTCTTTCACTTATGTGAAAAAAAAGAACCTTAAACATTGTAGAATGCTTTCAGTTTATCAAGAAAACATTTGATCTTGTAAAAATAGCATTATTCCTTGGTAGATTCTGCTGCATGTTTTAGAACTTTAGAAATGAAACAGGGTTGTTTTGTTTTGTCTTGTGGATTTGTTGGGGCTTTTTTAGCAAGGTTTTCGTTCATATAAACTAAGCACTTTGTTCTATATGTTCTAAATTCCATCAATGAGATAAATAAATTGCTGCATTGGATGAAACATAATTATTGAATTTTGGCAGAACTTCAGTGAACTCTGCCATGAAAGATTGATGTGCACAGTGCGCCCTTAGATTCTAAAGTAACAGAGTAAGATAAGGGGAGTGCATAACAGGCTCCAACCTTTGTGGTTTGGAGAAAATAGAAAACCATAGGCAAATGTTAACTTTTGGTATAAACTGCTAATGATAATGTTTTGTCATCTAGTTGATAAAAACAACAGGAGGAGACAAGAAAATCCAATTTAACACAAATTCTCTCCACTTCTTTCTTGCTCTGCTTCCCATTTTTCAGTATTAGAATAGCCAGAGTTGCTGTGTATTCTTACAGAAAGGAGAACATAGCAGGCAGGCTACTTGCAGTATCCAGCCATGTAATGTGCAAATGGAATCTCTCCATATCAGCACGTCGGATGTGGGTTTTCACTGCAGTTACGGTTTTGGTTTGTGATTATGCTGCATTGATCTCAGAATACATGTAAAATTGTACTGGCTGGATGAAAGCTACATGTAGTCATAGTAGTGTTTGTTATTATTCCCCTCTCTCTTCTTTCTCTACCAAACCTTGATTGCTTAAAACATTTGCTTCAATTGGCAAATTGTGGTTATAATCACAAAATCTCATTCCTCCTGGCTTTTAAATAATTACTGTGTCCAAATAATGTTTTTAATTGAGAACAAAGATGCATTGTCCTGCCAGGCAAGCTCCCTTGGCAGGACCAATAGGATTGCAAAGACTTTTTAGTATTTTCAGTCAGTTCACTATAGGAGGGAACGGAGACGACATTAACCCTGCTCTGGGGAGAGCAGCTGCCGCTTTGGCGGTGGTACCCTGCTCCTGGGAGCAATCCCTCTGCCTGCCCGGCTTCCCCAGCACCCTGCACCTCAGCCCACGTGTTTTCCCTTCTGCAGATATGTGCAGCACCAAGCACCAGCCCTGAGCCCGGAGCTGGTTTCCAGTGGGCTCAGGGACGGCGGCACGACGGGCAGGCTCTGGTGCGGCTGCAGGCGTGCGGTCTACCTGACTGGATGGTCCTGGGGGCATGGCTCAGTGCACCCAAAATGCCTGGAATCAGAGGGAGTTAGGCAGGGAGGATGCACCCATGGTGGTTTTTTTTTTCCTCTGTTTGTCAGCTCCTTGCTTCCAGACTGTTGACCTGCTGCTAAGGCCAAGTGCGTTCAGCTCAGTGTTTTAAAATGGCAGGTATCCAGAATCTTGGATATATTTCATGACTTCAAAGACATTTCTGCTGTCCTTCCCAGTCACATCCTTAAGCTCATGATGACAGCATTAGGAGTGGGATAGTTAGAGAGGTATAAGGGCAAGGGACTGATCTAGTGCCCATCTCAGTCAGGAGAGGGAATCCCACTGACTAACATCTCTTTGGATCCTACCCCCTCTGACCTTGCTGCTCCGGGATACCAAAAGCTACCTCTTCCCCCTTAGATCCCAATGACACCAGCATGACTAGCATTGCCATCTTCTCAAGCAGCTTTGTTGTCTTCACTGGAAGTCCTCAAAGAAGAAGGTTTACTGAGTAAAAGGCTTGAACGTGCCTTCCTTGTATTGTAAATAAAAAGGCAACTGAGTGCTTACTTTGCCCATTTGCAGTCCTTTCTCTTGTCCTTCTCCCCTTCTAGAAATTACTCTTGTGTCTGATCTTGATTATCAATTCATGTCACCATTGCAAGCAGAGGTTCAGTGTGGGCAGCTACCTGACTTCCATTGTATCCCTGTTAAAATGCTGCATTAGATATATGTCCAAGGTGAAATGAATATACATTCTAGGTCTATTGTTTTGATAATTAGACACCAAATTCTTTCAGTAAGGTTGATTTCATCTTCAAACAAAAAAAGGATATTTTTATCTTTTGTAGAGTACCGTAGAGTGCTTCAGTCTTTGTTTGACCCATAGGTGTATTTGGTTGGAAAACCTTTAACAAGTTATATTCGGAGTGCGTCTGTATTTTGAAGTAGACAATAATCATTTTTATTTTAAGTAATTCACAGAAATGAACGTTTTTATTAGCAATGTAAGATTGTATCCACAGATAATAAAAGAATAGAAGTAGGAATATCGTGCCTTGTTTGCATGGATAATAAATATATTTGCAGTGTGAAATCAGATTATGTTTTTACAGCAGGGGGGTTATGAACTGTTGAAATACTAATCTTAAAATATTATTAATATTTTTACGAAGTATGACCCAGTGAACGCCCCCTACTTAATTTTAATGCATAGTAGATGGGTGAATGTTTAAATGCCTACCAGGTTTCATATGTGAGGCTATGAGGTAACCAAAAAAAAAAAAGGTCCATTAAAGTAAAGCTTGCTGTTCCCTCTCTGCTGATCTGGAGAGTCCTGCCTGCCACAGAAGCAGCTCTCTGGGGTGGTGTGAGACAGGGGCACTGGGACACTTCTGTGCTTCGGTGCAGCTGCGTGTAACAGAGCAGGGAGAGCGATAGGAGGGCAGAAGAGAAGCCAAGGTACTTGTGACTGTACAGATCAGTTGTTGTTCTGCCTGGCAGAGAGGGAGCAGAGCGGCTGTTTTGGGATCCCAAGCTGAGGTCTGCTTTGAGGCTTCCCTAGAGCGGGGTGAGTTTCTTTCAGCTGCAATCCCAGAGCCCCTGGCAGTGTGTGGTGAAGTTACATGGCAAAGCACTGGGAGAGGGCTCAGTCCTGTGAAGGATCCTCTGTGGCTTCATGAGTTACCACAGAATGTAAGTCTTGGGTTATAGACGGAAAGTAGCAGACAGGTGAATGTGAGTTCTTAGATGCATAAAAATGTGGAGGCCTTTCTTTCAAGCATGGTAACGGACAAGCAGATTTAATTATACTAAAGTGATGATTTGGGGTTTTTAAAGTTCCCTGTACATTATGCAGGTCAGCATAGCAAATCATCTTAAAACACAGTCTGCAAAATTTTGGGCTTTACGTCTTACAAATTTGTACATCCCGGTGTCCACTTATGATCAGTCTGTCCCTGGGCATGCCACGTCTCCCAGTGCCTGAGAGTTGCAAATGTTTGACCTTTCCCTTCCACTGGGACACACAACATTTTACATGTCTACATTACAGCCTTCCAAAATATAGGAAGAGTGTTGTGAAGAAGAAAAGGGTTTTGCAAACATCTGAAAGTTGTTTTTTTTTAATTGTCAGAGATTAAGAACAGTGATGTAAAATGTCTGTTATGTTTGGGTGGGGCAACGGGGAGTAGGGGAGGAAGGTTTAAGTTTAGAAAACCCAGAGTAGTTGTGTAACTCACAATGTTTGCAACCTATGAAAATATTGATGATGGAATCGAAATAGGGTCAGGCTGGCATTTGAAATTTGAAATTTGTAGTCTCAGAGCACGGCTGAAGCAGCAGAGTATTTGGCTAAAATACTGCTGGATTAATAGTAGGAAAGAAACAAATACTGGAAAGGAATTCCAAAATGCTTACAAGGTATCTCGTTTGGGGGCATACATGAGTTTGCTAAATTCCAATTCCCAGACTGGTAATAATGATTGTTAATGTATATCTTTTATGACTTTCAGAGCAAGAGGAGCCAACTTTAGGAGAAGGCATATTGTGATACCCTCACTGGTAAGTACCCTAACTGCAATCAAGTTTATTACATTTTTGTAGAGTAGAGGCCTTTTCAAGGCCACACTTGATGCAGCTTAGTCACACAACAGCTTCAGATGACGTTCTGGAACAATAGGGTAGTAATGTGATATAGTCTATAATGAAAATCAGTGTAAAACACAGGTGGTTGCTGGTATTTGTGTGGTCAGATATAAAACCTTCACTATGGGTACAAGCTACTGCTTTCCCACTTGAGGAAGGTATAATTAAAAGTGGTTTCCAGATGTGCTGGCACACATCTGCCCTTTCTTAAAAGTGAATTTTGCAAATGCACACTGAACTGTGTTGCATTCATCATTATAAAGCTGTTGATGGTTTTTCAGGTAATAAAAAGGTTGAAAGCATCAACACCCCCACTGTAAAACTGAGGTGTCTGTAGACAACAGACAGTAGCATTTTATGTTCACATTATGTTCTTGGGATTTTCTGTGAGTAGTTCATAGCTGAATGGCGGCAAATATGCAAAATCTGTCTGGACAAAAATTAGCATTTACTTTGAGAGGTGATCCCTTGATGGTGATTTCATTTTTTACTGGGGAGAGGTAGCAAATTTCGGTGGGTTTGTTTGTTTGTTTTCAGTACAGTGAAATAAATGATACCATAAAACATTAGATTTCAGTTTCTTTAACCAAATTTTCAAGATGTTTAAATAGTCAGAAAACAAGAAATATGTAATGTGCTGAAAATTGACCTTTAATTTGTCTTCACATAAAAAGTAGAAGAAACTCTACTTGTAGGGTTATATGGTGCATCCTTAGTTGAACTATGTGAAAGAAAATAAATCAGAACAAAATTCAGAAAAGGTACTAGGTTTTAAAATATTTTTGAGAGGAGATTACAGATCTTTTGATTTAACTAAATAAACAAAATGTTTGTCCTAATATCCACTTGACTTTGTTAAGTGAAAATGTCATTAAAAAAAATCCCAGTTTCAGAAGAAAGTTTTTGCAGTTCCAGAAGCTTTAGTTACTGCTGCTACTTGCAACAAGCACAAGGCAAGAATGTTGTTGCTGCCATCTTCTTACTGACTTTTCTTCTAGCACTGCACCAATTACTGATACCTATGTCTTCGAAAAAAATGAAGGCTGGGACCTACTAACCCGAGAGTCTCGGACTATTGATGAGGCTGCTAAATACTGAGAAGATTTTTTAGGGTACTGTTATGATACTGTGTGTAATAGTGCCTGACCTTTGCATATATTTCCTTTACTTGCTTCAGCAGATGTGACTTGTAGGATTCTTTGTCAAGTGAGAGTCCAATGCTAAACATTTTATTTTAGGGAAATACTAACACTGAGAAAATAAAAAGTTTTTGGGATGTCCAACGTAGTTGGACTCTTTTGTGTAGGAGTTGCATCTGCTCTGTGCCTGGAGCATCTTGATGATACAAAGAAATGGATAATAATCAATAAGAAGGATATTAATAACTTCATAATGAAAATGCCGATTTCAGCAATATTGGCTGCTAGTACAGCTGACTTTTTTTTTTTTTTAAATTTCCCTTATGTTGTAATGGCTATTCTATATTATAAATGTTCTATCTTGACATAAAGACTTCAAATTTGTGCTTCCAGTGACTGTTTTACAAGGATGTATTTACTAACACATGCGCATACATTTAATATTAATCACATTTAAGTCACTGTTTGCCCAGGAGGTAGGATTTTATCACCAAGCTGTTATAAGTGTGGGTATTTTTCTGGCAAAATGTCATTTTGCACCAAACTTAGAAATCTGACTACAAAAGTACAGACATTCGGATGTGAAAATGTGCAAAATGAACACTACCTATACACTTAACTCACAGTTTGATTGCAATTAAGACTTGTTAGTGGTCACTACCCTGAACTGGCTACTCACATCAGAGACCAGCCCTGGCCAGACCCACAACCTTGCTTGCAGTTTGTACAAAACCATTTTGTACAAAGGGTCAGTTCCCACAACAGCTCAAATGGGTTAAACAAAGTAAGTAGCTTGCTGAAAAAAAGAGATTATTTAAATATTAGGGAGTTGCATCCTTGGTAACTGCAGAATTTTGTGTGCTTGTTAATTAAACATATTCTTATTAGTTGAAAAGTAAAATGCTGACCTGACTGGGGAGATGTCAAAAAGCTCTTTGGGACTGGGCAACAAGGGACATGAAGAAGGCAAAGATCTTTCCTTGACCGATAGGTGCAGAAGACAACCCACCAAGGATGTATCTCCCCCTGAGTGCAACAAACCTGTCCAGTGTACTTGAAACAGATGAGGCAATACCCTCCTGTGGTATAAACTTCTGCCAAACATTGAGTACAGGTTTATAAGCCAGTGGGTTGATGACTGTGAGTGGAGAAACTGTTACATATATATGGCACCATTGCTCCTGTTTATTGCCAATTTTGCAAGGACTTCCTCTTGTGAACATCTATGTCCTTGGTTTTGGGAGTGTTCCAGATTCAACAAGTACAATGCTCCCTGTTTCACAGAGAAAAAAAAAACTAAAAATGCCTGTCTGATGCTGCATTTTATCTCTAGAACAATTTGCTTTTTTGTCTTGGGCTTTTGGGTTGTTGATTTAATACTTTCTTGTAAATCAGAATCATTGCCAGCATTTCTTATGTCTCCCAGATATCTATTCTTCACCTTGAATTAAAGACTTCTGGCTGTGGCTTCACAATTAGTTGCTATAAGAATATAGTCTATAATGTTAGAAATCATTGACTAAGGCCTTGGGAAGAGTAGGCTACTGAAAAAGGAGAACTCTTTAATATTAAGACTATTTTTTAAAATGTATATCCCTAATGATGAAAGAATTCAGGAGTAAGAAAAAAAGATAGATTCAAAATATTGCTAAAATATTCTTCAGATATTTTAATGAAATGACTTTACAGAACATGAAGATAGAAATAATTATCATGTGTGTCAAGAATTTAAAAAAAAGATAAAATACATTTTATTTTATAAATAAACGTTGGGGTAAGGCGAATCAGATCAAGTAAAATATATCAATATGTTTGAAATATTTCATTTTGATTTGTTTTTCTACATGTCTATATTAGTCTTTAGGGAAAGAAACCCAAAAGGATAGTTTTGAACTTTAAACCAGAACTTTTTCGCCTTGAAAATATCTACATAGAATATTTGAGCAATTTTAAAACACTCTCTGCCTTTTTAAATGACAAATGAATTGGCACATTTCCTTGCAAGTAACTTTGTTTCTAATGAACTGGCCCTTTTTTTTGGAAGCAAATATGTCTCAAATATTTCCTACTAACTGTATCATGTGACAAACATATATTTTGCACTCCTTTAATCATTGTGCTTGTGGTTTTGTAAAATGTGAAACATTAACAAATTATCAATTTAAGCTGTGAGTTTTCAGGTTCATTCTTTGAGAGAATGAAGTAGGTGATAGCACAAATATATGGAAAATCTAGTTTGAAGGTTTTGGCTGTGGATAAGCCTCATATACTCATGTAAATAAGTAAAAACACACCAAAAGGTGTGTGCTTAGTGATTTACTCAAGGCCAGTATGTGTTACAGCATTATAAATATACTACTTGAGACCTGCACACATGTCATTACACTACAAATAATCTTGAATACAACCATGCAGAAATTGCTGCCCTGAGCTTTCATCTCCTCTGGGATTTTCCCCAGCAGCTGGGAAACCTGTGCAGGACACATCTGTAGCCAAAGCAGCATGACTAGGTGCTTTGAGCAAGCAAGACAGAGTCCTTGGGAAACCAAAGGTGGCCTCCAAGGAGTCTCCATATCCCATTGTCCAGCTGTGTGACTCTGGTTCACTTGCCTTCTCCCAGCATCAACCTTCCATTTAACTGGGCTGAAATCCCTTGGTATTTTGCTGTTTCCTAATGTCATCCTGTTGAAATGTTTCAGTGATGTTTAAGGAAGGCTTAAAGGCGCAGCTCTTAATAGGGTTGTCATTCAAACTGATTATACCCTTGCTTTTTAAGATTCTTATGGGGGAATATCTGCTTGCAGCAAGAAATATGAGCACTGTGCCTTCTATTCTTGTACAGGGTCATCAGTTGTGGCACTAACACTGAAGACAAATGTATCCTGTCCTCACCTGTCTTGCATGACTGTTTCTGTTGTTTGCTAATCGAGTGCTTCAGAGCTGAGATTGTTTCTGATCTGTGCTCATTCAACTACTAGAGGTTTGAAAGAGCAAATACGTTCTAAATATTATCTTAATTTTTCTGTGATGCAACACAGTTAGAACTGGCTTCCAAGTTCAGATGATTAAAGAGACATTGGAAATCTCTGAGAGGAGAGCTTTAGTTATTTAGAAACAGAACATGGGTTTCTCTGTCGGTAGTTCAGTTAAAATGTATGTCTGTGCAGAGAGTGCAGTTGCTGTTGACAGACACTCCCTGCTTAGCTCTGGCTGTGGTGGTAGTCTGGAGTGTGATATCCGGTTTTGGGCACTGTACAGCAAGAAGGAGGTAGAGTATAGTGATGATAATCAGAGATCTTGAAGGTCTAATTTATAAGGAATGTCGAATGGAGTAACTAGCCAAGTATCTTAGGAAGGACAAGAGTAACTGGTGCTGCTTTGTGGAAACGTGGTGGACTAGAGGATTCCTTGTGTTCAGTCTGTCTTTCCATTCTCTCCATGGTTCCCCACATTGTCCTGTTACTTCACCCCAGCCCATCCCAACAGGCAGAGTTTTCTAACATTTCAGAGGGAATTTATGCACAGTGATTCTTGTTAAACTCGTAAAGAGTTGGTCAGAAAAAAATTTTCTTTTATTGTGATAACTTCTCATGTCTGGCAAACTGATTTGTATGGCAAGACCTACTTTAGTGGGTGGCATTTGGTAAAAGAAGTCTCTTCAGCCTTTATCATTGCTCCTATTTTGAGTTGTATTTCCTAGTGCACTGTCTGAATACCTGCACTGCTTTCTGAAATAACAAGGAACAACCTTCCTGAAGCTCTTGGTCCAGGAGCAGA